GTCTTGAAAACCTTCCCACAAATGGGTGCCAATTGTTGCTTCCAAATATGAGGCCGAGAGAAATAAAGGGATTTCACTAATCTTCGTGGCCAATGGTTTGATCTGTGAATGAGAGAAGAGTACACATCGGAGGCCCCGGGTGTTATACCAGGGGATGAAGACTCTGATAGTCAAGTTAATAGAGTGATTAAAAGGGGTCGAACTAGGAAAGAGGTGAGGGCTCTGAGCTTAGTCCTTAATAACTAGGAGTAATTCTCTTGAGATTCTGAATGTGTCTTACCTTGAGATAGGCACCCCCTTTTATAGCTAGTCTTGCCTTAGGAGTGGTTGGAAGCAGTTGGTGATGGGTGGCTAGGATTTGATCTGGTTGATGCCATGTGGCGCGATCTGAGGCTTGCTAAGTATCCCTACATCAGGCTCGATATTTGTTCCCTTGACTTTCTCTTTCTCACCGAGGTCGCACCATTTCAGCACGACCCCACATCCTTGATTTTGAGAACTAGCATCACATAGTTTTCCATTCCATCTTGGTGAATCTAATGGGAATATTCCCATTTTGCCATCCTAGTCGTAGAAACCAAACTATGTGAACCAACTAGGCAAAAACCAACCGATGGTTGACTCATTGGTGTGTTGACTGGTTTGTTCGAATGTCAACGCGGAATCAAATCCTGCAACTAGCACTTTGGGGAAGATATGAATATTCTTCAAAGTTTCCTATTTTCCCAGGTTTGTTTTGGGCAAAATGGTGAGAAGGGACGAGAACACACTTTTCAATTTTTGGGATGCGGGGTCTCACAAAATAGGTGCGACCCCACTGAGAAAGGAAATTGAGTGAGAAACTTTTATCGAGGGAGGTAACTAAGCATCGTCGTCTTCTCAGACGCCATCCAATAGTTTACTCACTGGTGCCATCTCCGGCGACCTTTTTTGAAGGTAAGCTCATATTTGGGTTCCTCTCATGATTTGCATTCATTTTTTAACAATTTTTGTCTTCTTTCATTGAATGAGCTCCCCCTTCAAATCTCACCATTGTTTACCTCCATCCTTGGTTGTCCAGACCAATTTTCATTGCCAAAAAATAGTTGATCTACCGTTCAAGGTGTCATTCTTCCATATCGACAACCATTTTAATGTCGGAGCTCTAGATCTGACTTCCGACGTCTACCTCTTCCATATTTGGCGTTGTAAATGTTTTCTTATTAATTTGTTCTCTTTCCAAAACTAAACTTATCCATAACAAATTAACACAAGAAGATTGAAGTCACAGAGTCGTAGAAGTATGCGAGCGAAGTTCAAAAGATGATGCAAATGGAAGCAGAGACTAAGACCATATTGAAGTAAGCAAGTGAAGCTGAGGTGCTAGGTCCTGATTGGACAAGCAGAGAATACTATTCAGAGCGTAACGAAGTAGGAGGTTTCCAAATTTTGGAGGCAGAAGCGCATGGAGGAGGAGGATCACCTCCTTGCTACTATCAAGGTTGCAACTCGTATAAGATCATATTAACTAATAACTTTCATTTCTTCTCCCTTGAACAAAATGGTCTCAACAATCAAATACAGGTGATAGGTTGAGAAAAAAAAATTCCCTTCTCATCCTATCCCATCTCATTTAATCTTTTCTCAGCAACCAAACGGTAATGGTGCATAGCACCGAATCCGAATACCAAAAAAACAAAGGGTTTGACACGATGGCGTCCTCGTAATAAAACCAAGACGGAGCCTATTTGCCTAAGCTAAGGTGCTTGACGTGGGAGGTGGGGCATTGTTTTCCCACCCAGTGGTCTGACACCATTCTTTTCTCACCTTGCTAGTCCCGATATAGCAAAAAAAAACAAGCGATGTGCTCCGACTTCAACCTCCATCCAATTAGTAGAGGCTCCTTATAGTTTTTTTTTTCTCTTTGATTTATTAGGATTTGTATTAACAATCTTGCACTATTTTTTTGGACTAAACATGTGAATTTTAATTTACAGACATGTAATAGGATATCTGTCACATGTGAATGAAATTTTACTTTTTCCATCAAAGGAGATGAATGGGTTCGATAATTCAGAGGCAGATTCCCAAATAACAGTATTACATAAAAAAATCTAGGAAATTCATTTGAAATCTAACATGGGTTTTGCTTATTTGGCCTAAAATAATTGAACCCATATAATTTTCTAGAGTTTTTATTTAATGTGAGAGCAGAAGAATTTGTAGAAGTCAGAGAAAATTTTGTATGGGGAATTGAAAGAAATGACTGAAAATTTTTCAAAGAAGGTTGGGGAAGGGGGTTTGGATCAGTTTATCAAGGGACTTTGACAGTTCGTTAGACGATTGACAGTTCATGAGGCCGGAGGTGGAGATTGACAGTTAGTCCACCATCCCAGTACTATCATTGGAAGACTGATAGTTTGGATGGTTGGAGGTGGAATTGAATTCAATTGCCATCGTTGTGTGTTTTAGTTGGGGAGAGGGGAATGATGAATAATGCTATTCTGTGTTGGTGGAGAGAGAGAGAGAGAGAGAGAGAGAGAGAGAACCAGGGGAAAATAAGAAGAGGGAAGGTTGGAGGGGGGAGTGCACCACCATTTTGCCGCTATGCGTCATGAGGAAGAAGATGAATAGTGTTCGAGCAAATTATGGAGTTGTTGAGATAGGGATATTTTAGTAAAAATAGATGCACATTAATTCGTAAAAAGGTAAAATAGGCATTTTGAAAAAAATATCATCTCTGTAGTGTTTTTCGTCTAGTCATTGATGAAAGGGAGGTATTTGTTGAATTTTTCAAAAATAGAAGGGGGGTTTTTGGTAAAGTGAAACTATAGGAAAAGTTTTTGTATTTTACCCTAATAACAATAATAATAATAAACAAAACCTCCCTTCAACTCTCTGACAATCATAAAAACCCGTAGTTTCATTTTAATAAAAACCTCTCCTCAACTTTTAAATAATTCAACGAAATGCTCCCTTCCGTTACTAAGTAGACAGAAAATCTGTAAATTACAAAGTTGCCCTTGACTAATCATCAGCCTGTCATTAAAAATATTTTAGAATATTGGAATTGCCCATACTCGAGCAACAACACTAATCATAATTTACCTACACCTGTATCATCTTGCCACTTTTGAGATTAAGGTCTTCGTTTGTTGAGATATCGGTATAATAAGCGACGGTAACAGATGCATTCAACTTCAAGTCATTGATGTTGATCCTGACATGATTGTCGTTGATGTCAAACTCGAAGTCTTGAACTGTGTCAAATTCCATAGTGAAAACATGGTTGGAGAACTGTGTCATTGAACTTTTTCGTTGGATTTGAATTCCAATCCTTTGGTCTCATTCGTTGGATTTGGTTCTGAGGTGCTGACTCGGAAGTTCCCCTTTGAGCTCTTTCATTGGAGAGATCATGAAAGCGAGGCCATACCAACCAAGCTTCGAATACTTGGGGACGATGGCAAATGCGAAAGAAGTAGATAAAGAGAAAGTTGTGCCATCAGTGGAGTTTTTAAACCGGAGAGGAGATGGGTAGAAGGCGTGACCCACAAAATGACTCGTCTTGTTTGTTAATCGAAGCATCCCATCGTTTGGGATATGGGCAACTTCATTGAAATTTATGTTGGTGCCAACTCCACTAGTTAGATCCACCATAGAAGATCTCGTCAAACTGGGAACAAAACCATGTTCCACAAGAAAATAAAAAGTAAAAAACCAGAGAAACCCAAGATGCTTGGCCTTTAAAGGAAAAAAAAAAAATATAAAAACCTTGAAAGTTGAGATTTGAGATATTGGCGTTGCAGAGTGAAGATGATGTGTGCTATGCACTTGGAAGAACTTTAGAGGAGGACGTTCTGCTTCTGAGTTGTGCATTTGTTAGGTACAGCAAAGCGGAGGAGAGTTGAACCAGTTTGTTGTTCGGAAGTAAGGGAGAGCGACGTCAACTTGGACCTTAGTGTCGGAATCAGATCGACGACCCAAAAAATAGAGAACCGAGTGCCTGATTTTCCCGTCCATAGTCCATTAAGAAAATTACAGCCTTGTTCTTTTCAGCAAAAAGTAGCTCAACGGTCCCAACCCCCCCTCCCCAGAATAAAATCTATGTTCATCTCCTTTTGCCATTTCATTATTTTCGTAGGTTTGCGTTTTTTTTTTCTCTTTTGCTCTAAAAAATAATCATAAAAAACATAAAAGCGTTGTTACTCGAGTGAGGACAATTCTGGTATTTTAAGATATTTTTAATGATGCCCTAACAATTAATTAGGAGCAATTTTGTAAATTTATAGTTTTTTTTGTGTGTCTCAATAACTAGGGGTATAAATGGATCGAATTTAAAACGAATAAGAAAATATCCGAATTCAAATCTGATTAGAAAATTCCGTATCTGAATTCGATTCAATAGTCGTCGGATATTGAAAATTCATATCCGAATTTGAATCCGATTAAATATTCAAATATCCGATCCGATTCGAATTTGATTAATTAATTATTTTAGATAATTAATAAATATATAAAACAAATATTATATTGATATAAAGTATATAAATATATAAATTATTTATATAACTTAATTATTATATATAAATGATATAAAAATATTTTATATATTATTTAAGAATTAAATAATCGGTCGAATTCGAATATTTATCGAATTGATTCTAATGATATCCGGATTTAAATCTGAATAACTATTCGATAAGAACAGGATATCTGAATTCGACTGATTAGATATTCGAATTATCCAAATTCGATTGATTATTTCAAATATCAATTTTCGAATAAACACTCCCATAAATAATGGAAGGGAGGATTTTGCCGAATTCTATATGAAATCCTGACCATTCAATTGGAGTATCTTACTGTTATTCATTCATAAGCACCTTTGAATTGTATATGATAGAATGGTGGGCCATAAGTAGAAGAGATCTAACGATGAGAATTACGAGAGCTGATTGGTGGGGTCTCTAGATATGTGTCTTGTTTGTGGGGACTAAAACTTAAACACGAGTACACGACTAAACTCATTTTGCAGAGCGGAACAGAAAACTATCGTGTTGAATGGAGGACGCCAACGATCTGAAGCTTCGCTTGCTGAAAATTCGATGAGGAGGAGGATAAGAAGAAGAGGGAGAGAAGATCTGAGATGGATTTCTCCGAAGATAATCTGAAAGGGTTTGTCTTGGCTCTTCTCTCAAGTGGATTTATAGGGGCAAGCTTTATAATCAAGAAGAAAGGTCTGAAACGTGCTGCAGCTTCTTCTGGAGTTCGAGCAGGTAGGTTTGATTATTTGATGAATTATTGGTTTTTGTTTGATGGATTTCTGTTGATTCTTTTTTGATTTCCCTTTTTCTTTTACTGGTGTAGGAGTTGGTGGCTATTCTTATCTTTTGGAGCCTCTGTGGTGGGCAGGCATGACCACAAGTAATTTCTCTTCTATTATACATAAAAGTTATCTCCTGCTTCATTTTTTCTATAAATTATCTTTCTTTGTTCTGATACATAAGTTATGGTGTTCAATTGTCTCTTTATTCTTCTTATATATGTGTGGGCTTTTTTTAATTTGCTGTTTGGTTGAGTTTGTGTCGGAGTTATTTCAGAATTATGAATATTCATTCTTGTTATGAGATTTCTTTCCTTTCTATTCAATTTCTTCATTTGCTTACGTGTTATTGGAAATTTTACTTTAATTTTCTTCTGGCAAGCCTGACATAAAAGAGAGATAACTTGTTTTAGGTGTTAATCCAATGGATCTCTGGTAATACTTTTAGTGATTGTAAAAGTTCTTTAGGTTTGAATTTGCAGGTCATTCGTTTATTGTTTTCCTTTGGAAAATTCAGAGGCCAAAATGTTGTTCACTATGATCTTTGGTCCTCCGCACTATTTGTCTGCAATATCTTATTGGTGTCTGTTGTTTTATGCTTTCTGGTTTAGTGATTGTGGGAGAGGTAGCAAATTTTGTGGCATACGCATTTGCTCCAGCTGTTCTGGTTACCCCTCTTGGTGCCTTAAGTATCATTGTCAGGTAATTACTCTCCATGTTTTCTTCTCTTTATTTCAAGGTTTGCTCAGTATTTTCCATGTAAAAGGAATTTCATTGATTGTGTGATTATTAACTTTTTTTTTTTGTTTTTTTGATGGCATGCGGTAGTGCTGTATTGGCTCATTTTTTCTTGAAGGAGAGGTTGCACAAACTTGGGATCTTGGGCTGTGTGATGTGCATTTCTGGTTCAGTTGTAATTGTTGTCCATGCACCGCAGGAGCGTCCCATCACTTCCGTTCAGGAAATCTGGAGTATGGCAACTCAAACAGGTATAAGGTTTCTCTCATTCTTTTTAAAGTTTATTGTACTCAATTTGGACACTCTGTTCCGTTGATGGCTAACATACATCATAGTATTTATATTTCTTCTGTTTTATGTTTCAGCATTTTTGTTTTATGTGGTGTCAGTGATCATTCTGGTTTTCATTCTGGCTTTCCATTTTGCACCACAATGCGGGAATACAAATGTACTGGTTTACACAGGCATTTGTTCTTTGATGGGCTCCCTCTCGGTAATCTAATTAAGTTGCTTTTGGTTTTCTAGTTTGAATTTCCTGATCTGGCACTGCAATGTACTTGGTGACAACTTATAAACTTGTTAGAGGTCCAGATGGAACAACTTAACCAAGTGCAGTTCTGGACTAGAGTTGATGCCTTATATGAATTGGTCAGACATGCTTAACTATGAAGTACTCCTTTAGCTGCTCATATGGATATTCTTGATCTCTTTATCTACTTACAAGGTTATGATGGAAAAATTATAATAAAATCCCATATAAAATGTTCCATTTATCATCTAAATTTACTCTGCAGGTGATGAGTGTCAAAGCCATTGGAACTTCCTTGAAATTAACCTTTGAGGGTAACAACCAGTTGATCTACCCAGAGACATGGTTCTTCTTGTTGGTAGTGGTTACCTGTGTCATCACACAAATGAATTATCTCAACAAGGTTAGTGATGGATTACTCTTTTTTTTGATGAATAATGAATGACTTTATTAGAAGATTAGAATTATAAGAGATACACAGAGAAGGTTCCCAAAAAGAGGCGTGAGATGCAGCCTCAGATCAAAACAAAGAATTACAGCTTAGCCCAAAACATTTGATTCCTATGCACCCATTGTTTAGCTAGTGAGTCTGCTAACCCATTTGCAGATCTTCTTTCCCATTGGAAATGGACTGACATATTTGTAGTTAGCCATCTGAATCTTCGTAAAACCCCCTTATAGGACCAGGCAGCTGTTTCTGACTCTTTTAACCACTGGATCACCAGCTTGGAATCACCCTGTTCACAATTCAGTTCTTTGGCAAATTCAACTCCTTGTAACAGTTATTCGTCATTACTGTAATGCTTAAAACATTTTGCCCTTTTCTATTGTAACATTTTAGAGTCAAATTCTATATAGGGTTAAGAGTAACACATGTAGAAAATAATAGGATGATGTGCATGATTGTTTGTGATATAATAACTGAAGAAGGACAAGTTTGATAATTTCCCAACCTTGTAGAAACTTGGATTTTCTGATGTCTATTATACTCTTTGAAGCCTTATTTATGTAATTGATTGATCAGTAGCTGCCTGCATTTTTATCTTGAATTCTTGATATATTTTTGTTTTAATTTTAATTTTAGTTTTGGATTTTTTTTTTATTTTAATAGAGAAAAAACAAAATTGGTTTGCCAAAGTACGAGGAATTTTATACTTCATGCCAATATACTAGGGTACAATGGGTCTTAACAGCAGCAAAATCAACTTGGTTATTTGGCATAATTTCTCTGATTTACCAGTGGTCCTTGAGTAGGCTTTCTGAGTTCTGCACTTGGAAAATATGCCACTATTGTAGCAATTTCACCTGACAGTTCTTTTTAGATGCAGTTCCCTCTATCACCCTACTGATGGATAAGGACCTGTCTGATATATTTTTTCCTCTTGTCATTCATGAGCCAACAGAAATGTTAATGTAGTGTCTATTCTAGTCAATAGAGGAGCAGGGTCAAGTATAGTTGAAACATTTTATAGTAAATAGAGGAGCCATGTCTATTCTAGAGGGTCAATTATACTTGAAACTTTTCAGTTTTTTTTGGATACTTTAATTGTAGTTGAAACTTTAAAATAGATGAACAAAAGGATGAAGAGGTAAAAGACCAAAAGAAAATATATCGGGTCTGTAGAATGATAGATTCAACTTCAACTTCTAATTTACCCATTTATTTTCTTATTGAGTTGCTTAATGCACATTAAAAGATAGGGGATGTTTTATCCTAATCCTTAAACACCCCCTATTGAATGATTTTGTTGTTACAATTGACAGAATGGGAGAAATATCAAGATTTTGGATGTTTGAATCTAATGCTAAAAATGCCGTACTTGTGGGTAAATCATTGAACAGAGAATGTGGCTAACGGGATTAATTTATGGAGGGATATTTATTGACTTGTCTTCCGAGATAAAAAATAGGTGATATACATGCAAGACACTCTCACTTTCCTTTGATTTGAAGGTGGATCTTTTAGGCTATGTTTGGTTTGAAAGGAAAGAAGGGAAGGGAAAAGAAAGGAAGGGAAAAGAAAGGAAGGGAAAGCTTTTCTATTCCTCTTCCTTTCTTTTCCCTTCCCTTGCTTTTTTTTCTCTTCCCTTCTTTTCTTTCAAACCAAACACAGCCTTAGTGAACATTTATATACATTAAAAGTAAGCATGGTGAATAGTTTGTACAAATATTGCTAAGGTGTAACCTCTCAGGATTAAGCATGTCCTTCCTACCATCATTTTCTCCAACCAAGGGGCTTTTGTGCAAGGGAGGCAAATTGTGGATCAAATTTTGATAGCCAATGAATGTGTGGAGGATGTGAGTAGATCTGGGAGGAAAGGAGTGGTGTGTAAGCTTGACTTAGAAAAGGCCTATGATATGGTGGAATGGTCCTTCTTAAAGGAGGTGATGGAATGCTTTGGGTTTGGAGGTAGATGGTGCAAATGGATGATGGGGTGTTTGAGGACTTGTCAATATTCTATTATGGTGAATGGGACAGTAGTGGATTTCTTTCCTGCCTTAAGGGGTATTAGACAAGGAAACCCTCTCTCTCATTTCCTTTTCACTATAGTTGCAGATGTGTTGGGAGATTGGCTTCAAAAGCAAAGTCTAGGAATTTAATAAGAGGATGGAGAATTGGGAGGGAAGGGGTACCAATTACTCACCTGTAATTTGCTGATAATACAATTCTCTTTTGTGATGGAGGAGAGTTAGGCTGGATCAGAAATCTCAAAACCGTGGTGCAACTTTTTGAGAAAATGTCAAGCTTAAAGGTGAACTTTGAAAAAAGTTGCATAGCAGGAATTAATATGCAAGAGAGGGAAATGGATGAGTGTGTGGAGACTTTGGGGTGTGCGGTCCTTAGTTGGCTTCTAAAATACCTAGGTCTCTCGTTAGGTGACAACCAAGGGAAAGTGAGCTTTTGGTCCCTGGTGGTTGAGAGATTTGAAAAGAGACTTCTTGGAAATGTATTTACCTATCTATGGGAGGCAGGGTTACCTTAATTAGGTCCACTCTAGCTAATTTACCTGTTTACTTTTTGTCGGTATTCAAAATTCCAGTGGGATAGCTAGGAAGTTGGAGAGCTTAATGAGAAACTTTCTTTAGGAACAAGGAGAGGATAAGAATGATCATAGAGTGAGGTGGGAAGTGGTGTGTAAGAGCAAGAAGCCAGGGGGATTGGGAATTGGGAATGTACGGAAATGAAATACTGCTCTTTTAGGTAAGTAGCTTTGGAGATTTCCTGATGAAAAAGAAAAATTCTGGGCCAAGGTAGTGGTGAGCATTCATGGGATAGCAGCAAATGGCTAGGACACTGGAATTAGAGCAAGGACTACAAGAGCATCCCCGTGGAAAGCCATCCAAGCCATCCTTTATTCTTTCCTCGGATCAGGTATGATTTGCACTTTGGGAACTGTATTAAATTTTGGGAACAAGTATGGGTGGGGAATTCTCCTTTGAAGGACCAAATTTCCCTCTTTGTTTGCCTTGTCTTGTTACAAAAATGAGCCTATTTCTACTTTCCTGGTTCCCTCCAATTCTGGCTCTGGGTTTGGTTGGGATTTGGGATTGAGAAGGGCTATTAGGGATACTGAGGTAGATAGTTAAAAGTACACTACGGAACAAAATACAAGGTTACTCAAAATGGTTTGCTAGTTAAATGACTAAACTATTTCTGTTAGAACAACACTGCAAGACATTATACAACATTTACACTCTGGTGCTTTCCCTCAGTCCTGTGCAGTTGTCAATTGTCAATATCTTGTAAACTAACCACTTGGTTTGCTCGTTCACAGTGCCTTGAAGATTGTGAATTCCTTTTCAACTTAATCCTTTGGGTGATTGATTACCAGAAAATCTTATCCTCTGAGTTCTTTAGGAAAAAAACTTGATTTTCTATCTATGCAATAAAGTCTTAGGCTAAATCAACTTTCTTTATTCTTTTGATTAGTAACAATATCAAAGATTTTGAGAGGGTTATACTGGGTGGCTACATCTTCTTCCCACAAATCTAGACATTGTTGGTAGTGGAACCCAATGGAGCAGCAACCATGTGATGCTCAACTTTGATGGGTGCAGCCTTGTCAACCCAGTAGGATCAAGCATAGGAGGAGCCATTAGAGACAGTTGGGGCTCAATTATGGTAGTCTACTTGGGACCCACAATGGCTGAGGTGATGGTAGTACTACAAGGACTATAGATAGCAAAATCTTTTAACATTCAAAAATATTTTGGTGGAAGGTGACTAAAAGTGGTAGTGAACTGGCTAAAGAACAAATTAGGAATGTGGTACTACAGGAACATTATTAAAGAAATTCATGTAGTTGCAAGGGTGGAAGAAAAGTTTTTTATGGATCCATATATTAGAAAATGGGCTGGATGGCTGTATAGTCAAACAGGTGGTGGACATACATAAATTATTTTGGGGAAATGTAATATTTCATGGATATGGATGAGGTAGCTACAAACTTGCCTCTTTAGTGTTGCAGACACACTTGTACATACAGGCCAGCCTCTTTAAGTGTTGCAGACATACTTGCACATATTTTATTCTTTTAGGACTCAATGAATAAATTTACCAGTTACTCATAAAAAAAATCAATATCAAAGATTTTTATTATAGATCAAATATACAATTGTAGAAGCACTTCTCAAGATAATGGAGAAGAAAGAGGCCGACAACCAAGAGGCTAACAATCTCACATAAATCAGTGAACAACCTTTCTCAGAATGTTGATTTTCCAAAATAAAGAATGCCTTCTTACACTTCTAGCTAGATTATCCACAAGGCAGTTGGGTCAGTGTAAGAACAAGCAATAATTCTGAATCTAGACCCATGAATGGGAGTAACCAACCGAAACTAAAGGCCTACAAAAGAAGAGGTCCACATCAGCTCTCAGATACAACAAATAACCAAGTTGCATAACTGAATGTAACAAGACAATGAGATATAACTACCAAGAATGTAATGGATTTCCTCTGCATAAATACAAACAGAACAAGAAGAAGAGATAGGCAGAATTACTCAGACACCTTTCGACCTTTTTTCTAACTCTCTCTCTCTCCCCCCTTCTTCCTCTGTCTTCTCTTTCTCTTTCAGGAGGTGCTTCCTCATCAGAACCCTGAGTTAGGCAGTCCCTAACAATTTTGGTATCAGAGCTCCTGATGCCTAACACATGATCAACATCAATGGGAGCAAGAACTGACCAAGTTGATGTAGATCAACATCGCGTATCGACGACATATGAGAAATGAAGGATATGTTGTCTGCCCTCATGAAAAGCTCAAACAGATTGGGGTCGATGGGAATAGAGGGATTGATCTAGCTGCAGGGGAAAGCCAAGGAAGAAATCGACGAAGCAACCCTTGGATTTACAGGGTGGAGACCTAGTTCTGTGCATTTATAGGGCCGATAAGTTCTTT